ATTCTAATTGCTTTCCAGGCAGTTAGAAATGGAAGGTATCTTGGGACCATTCAATTTCTCCTTTACAAATGACCAAACAGACCCAATGAGAAAAAGATAGCACATACCCACATCCCCATTCCTCCAGCTGCCTCCAGACAAATCCATTTCTTCAAACCTTGATTTATACATGCCAACTCTTGCCCACAATTGAAAGTGGTTGGCACACAGCAGCGATTCCCATGGCAATGACACCTGAGGCCGGGAGTAACTGTGGTGTGATGGGCAGACCCACACACAGATTGCCCATTCTGCGCTAGCTTCTGCCATTTGACAACCCCGTGTCCTCAGGCACATTATACCCCCTCTTCGAGCTTTGACCTTGGTTTCATCATCAACTAAAACTGCCAGTTCATACTTTGCTGCCTCCTTGTGAAGACAGAATGACTTCATATGTAAAAGACTCTCAGAATAATTCTTGACACAAGCGTTCACCATTATGACTCATTCACTTAATGGCCCTTGGTGGCCATTAATTCCGTCAGATTCACGGCAAGAGCTGTGAGTTCTTTGGTCTAGCAGGAAACAATTAATGACAGATGTGTCCATCAAATGTTTGTAATGTCTTGTAGTAGGTAGCCAGTCCAGCTTTGACCTGGAAGTACCACCCACTTTGAGGCTTTAGTAACTGTCACACCTACAAGGCGGAGCCGAGAGAGCTCCCGTCCGGATCTTGGGTCTTCAGAGGTCCTCTCTCGGCTCCGCCTCGTAGGCATGACACACACCCTCAAAGGGGGTGGTACTTCCAGGTCAAAGATGGACCGGCTACCCACTACAATGTCTCCTCAGATTTTAAATGCTAGTATACTCGTATGTGTGGTAGAATCAAGGGACCAATCCAAACTAAGTGATCTGACTTGGCTTGGACATTTGAATAGAATCTTCTGCCCTAGCTAACTAGCCTACTGGCCTTTTCTTAGTGTGTTTCTCCCTGGGAGGCTAAACATGGGGTAGTAAAGCTGCTAGAGTTGGAAATGAATGTTGGCTAAAGTATGTCAAGCAAGCACCAAGGTAGATAGGAAGAAGAACTGGACTATTCATTTAAGACCACCCACACACACCCCTAAAAAGCCACATCCCACTGGCAGGGACAGAAGAACACGTGTTGACAATTGCAAAGTTATTTTCTGAACCCCAGAGTGGTAGACACAATACGTGGGTGCCTATTATCTCATATATTTATTTAATAAGTATGGATTGAGTGCCAATCACCACGTGGACACTGTTAACCACTGATAAAATAGAGAGGTAAGTTAGATATCATCCTTTAAAAATCATTATTTTCTGTGTGTGAGTGTTTGGCCTGCATGAATGCCTACACCACAAGTGTGCCTGATGCCCACAGAGATCAGAAGAGGTCATTAGATCCCCTGGAACTAGAGCTACAGATAATTGTGAGCCACCATGTATGTATGTTCTGGGAACTGAACCCAGGTCCTCTGCAGGAGCAATAAGTGCTCTTAACCACTAAGTCACTGCTCTAGGCCCCTCCAGAACCATTCTTTGTCTCAAACACTTTATGGTCCATCTGGGAGACCTAACAAGCTAACTTGAGTACAATAAATATGAAAATGAAAGTTTCCAAAACAATACCTGAGGCCATTCCTGTCTTTTTTCTGAGTTTTATCTAGAGTTCATCTAGAATTCTATCTATAGGAGTCCCTTAACACAATCATGGTAATGGGTATGGAGTTATAGATGTCACAGAAACTGTCACAGAAACTCCATTACCCATCAGTCCATCAAACTAGAATGCCTATGATGGTCCAGCTCTAATCATCTGAAAAATGCACCTCTGCTGAGCACATCTGAAGCCAGGCTTCATATCTGTGGCAGCAAGCAACCTTCATGAAGTTCAGAAACTGAAGTGAAACTTGGAACCAAGTGGCCAGGACAGGCAGTTTCTGATCTGCTTCCCTCTCGGTCCTCTGCCACGCCCCTCCCCCCACCCCACCCCGCCTCTCCACATGCACCTGCCTCCCCATGGCTCTTCATCTGACTCTTCTAACCAAGTCCTGTGGTCCCTGTGTCTAAGTTCACCAACCCAGCGTGTCTTTCCTGTAGAGTGAAGGCACTGTCTCGGGCTTTGGGTGGAAGTTACGAGTTGGGCATCTCTAGCTGGCTAAATTAAAAAACACTGGCGTACAGGGGGGAGAGGAAATGCTTTAGAACATGCGCCCAGAATGCAAGGACAAGCTGAACAAGAGAGCAAAGGGAGCCAGCTCAGTAGTCACAGCCAGTCTGAGGCTGTCAGTGATGGACGTGTCCGCAGGGGCCTAGCCCCACGCTTCTCAAAAATGGGCCTCCAGCAGTGTTTGTGAAGCCAGGAAATAGCTTCTACTGAAGTGGCTGAGCCTTCTTTCCAAAAGAGGAACTAAATGAAGTGAATCCAATTAGTGCACACATGCACACATGCATGCACGTACACTAGAGCGTGTGCACATGTACATGCGTGCACACACATGAAGGGCAGAGAAAGAGAGAGAGGGAGTGAGTAATGCAAAGAGGACTTAGATAGAGTGTGAGGCCAGAGAGATGGCCCAGCAGTTAAAAGTGCTTGTTCCCATTGCCGAGGGCCAGAGTTTGGTTCCAAGCACCCATTGCAGGCAGCTGAGCTGCCTGTAACTCCAACTCCAGGGGATCTGACACACTCTGACCTCTGCAGACATCAGCATGCACAAGCACACAAATACAGATGAACAGACAGACACACACACACACACACACACACACACACACACACACACACGAATAAAATCTTTTTAAAAAAAAAATCCAAGTTCTCAAAAATTTAGTCATTAAAGTTTCATTTAGGGATTTTAAAATGTTCTTTATCAAAGAATAATATCTGTTTTGTAATCTTTCTGCAAACACCCTTTATCTGGTGCACAGCTCAGCCTGGTAGAGGAAGTGTAGCTGTTTGCACTAGTCAGGGGAAGAACAAAAGCACAGAGGGCCTGCACTAGGTCAGCAGGTACAGAGGGGCGGGGGCGGGGCAGCAGGTACAGAGGGGCGGGGGCGGGGCAGCAGGTACAGAGGGGCGGGAGAGGGGCAGCCCAGCCTGGCCTTCGCTGCTGAGTCCAGAGGTCTTTCCACAGTGCCAGACTGGCTGCTTGGCATACCGGTGGAGGTGTTTCCTGGCGACAGGACACCAGCGCTGAGCTCACCCAGCATCTACAGAGGTGAGCAGTGCTTGCACAGCGCCCGAGCCTGCTCAAAGGCTGCTCTTGGTTTAGATGCCTGGGCTTTCGTTCTGACTCGTGCCCCACATGTGACTGATGGATTCTCAGAAAGGGTCCCGGTGATTAAAAAAAGAAGAGAAGAAAAAGCACAGACATCGTGCAAGAGCAGGACTGTGCCCTCTGATAACCGCCCAGCCATTTGTCATTGTGAGCCTGGGGCTACTGATGGGAATGGGATACACAGAGGGGCCGATGCTCAGCTTCTCGAAAGCAGCATCAGAGACCCTTCCTTTGTCCACTGGACAGTGTTTTGGAGGGTACAGTTATCATTAACATTCCGGGACTTTGCACCACCAAGGAGGAATGCTGCTGTCACTATTTGCTCCTCTTTTGCCCCAATTTGATGTTTATCCTTTCTACAGTTTTTTGAACTCATCATTTCAACGATGACCACCTATAGAGACTGTCACCACCACCCCCTTCCCACCTTCTGTCTCCTGCCCTTCTTTATTCATTTGTTCATAATGCATCTTGCACCAGAAATGTATTGACCTTGTGCTTCTGGTCCCTCAGTCTTGACTGTCATAGTAAGGGCAGGTACCCAGGTCTGCTGTGGTGGCCCCATGGCCAACACAAGTATTTGGCATAGAACAAAGCAAATCACCTAGTGATTGAGTTACTTATTACCTTCGGGTCTTGTCTAGTCCTGAATAGAGCTGCTGTAGAAAAGACCTCGTTAAAACAAAAAGCAAGAAGGAGGTCGGAGGTAGAGAGAGCTCTTGCCTAGCACACCCAAGACCTTCGGTGTGATCTTTAACAATCCCACCCCCCACCCCAGAAAATTAGCAAGAAGCCATTGCAGTAGAGAAAAAGAAAAAGACTCCAGCTTCCTTTGTAGTCAAAGTTTCTAGTTTCTGATTGACTGATCAGTTAGGGAAGTGTACAGAATGGGAAATGTCAGAATGCTGAGTCAGAAGTTTTCGGAGCCTCTGAAAGATGTTCCCAGGGCCTCCTTGTCTGGGCTGAGTCTCCTTTCTGCCTGGCCCCCTCTTCAGGATGGAAGTGGAAGCAATTGCAAGCAAGCTTCCATCTGCTCATGCCCTACCCAGCCAAGTCCCAGGCTTCCTTCGGCTGCTGGGAGAACATGGGGCCCGGTGACGTTTGTTTCAATGCTGCTATGTGGTGAGGGCAATAGCATAGACCTTTCCCGGGGCCCTGGACTTTCTGCTTCGTCTGCACGGCTTTGTTAAAGCTCACTTCCGGTTATTGCTAAAGGTCTAGCTCAACCATCAAGCTTCTTATGAAAGCCTTGCTGAATCTCCCACTTGGTCCTCATTACTCTATGGATCTCATCCCCCTGTTCATTTAAATGACTGCAGTGGTTCCTCATCTACATCATGTCATATCTCTCTGCACCCAAGTTACGTGCCTTGTGTGAAGTCGTCACTCCCCAGTGCTGAGAAGATGAGTAAGCACGTGTGTATAACGATAGAGGGGGTGGTGAGAAGGTTCAGCTGAGAGAGCACTTGCTTCCCCAGCCCGGCGATGTGGGTTTTACCCCTAGAGTCCCATGGTGGAAGAAGAAAACCGACTCCAGAAGTTGTCCTCTGACCTCCACCTATGACACACATACACACAGACTAAATAAACAAACAAACAAACAAATAAATAGGCTTTACAATCCAGCCAGTTACCTAGCTAACATTTGGATCTTCCCTCGGGATCATACTGGATTATATGTATATGTATGTACGGATGTATATTTCTGTTTTCATTCAGGGACTCTGATTGTTTTGAAACATCCCTATCCAAGAATAGTGGAAGAGCCCTCCATTTATGAATCAGTCCGGGTCCACACAGCCATGCAGACGGGAAGAACAGAAAACGACCTCGTGCCCACCGCACCTTCTGTAAGTACCCACTGTGCCCCTCACTGAATGCCATCGAATGCAGCAAGAACGAGTTCGTGGGCTCACAGAAACAGTCTAGCTTGGAGCCAGCCTAGTGCCACAGTCATAATCCCAGCTCGTGGGAGTCGGGAACTTGAGAGTTGCTATGAGTTCAACCTCAGGCTAAACAGAGAGTTCCTTGTCAGCCAGAGTTGTCTTGTAGGGCCCTGTTCTGTCTTGAAAAGCAAACAAACAACAAACATTATATTCTAGTGGAGGATATAAAAACTTGGAAAGTAATATAATATTTGACGCCTATAATTCAGTTCATCTGGCCCAAGGAAAATTAAAAAACAAACAAAAACCAACCCCACAAATGCTTTGGCTGAGTGTTCGCTCCGTGTTTCAGTACTTGCCTGGTATTGTGAGGTCCTGGGTTCCATCACCAGTAGAACACACACACACACACACACACACACACACACACACACACACACACACACACACACACAGCGGGAGGGGGGCATGCCGTAGTGATAGGATTTAAAAAACTTAGAAAACATCATTGAAGAGTCTCTTTAAAGGGCCAAACGTTCGTGGTGGAATAGATTGGACAGGGGCTCATGGAGTTCACGAACCAGTCACCCTTTAACAAGCTGCTTCCAACTCAGAAAAACAATTTCTTTCGCAATTCAACCATCCATGAAAGAAAAGCCTTCTCCAGCTTCACCATAAAACTTGGGGTGCATCTGAGCATTATGGTCCACACCTTTAATCCCAGCACTCAAGAGACAGAGGCAGGAAGATCTCTGAGTTCAAGGCCAACCTGGTCTACAAGAGTGAGTTCCAGGAGGGACAGGACTACATAGAGAAACCCTACATATTTTTTGATGTACCGAAAAACAAAACTTGGGGTGCTATTTTTCTAGTCTTCATTCTTCACTGACTGGCACCCACAGAGAGAAAGTATTCTTACTTGTTTGCAGCATGAGCCAACCCCCGCTTTAGCATGAGTGTTACAGAATCACTCATTGTTCCCAGAGTCCATCCATGCATGTGCTGTGAGCACATCCTCACAGTTCTACTTGCTGTCTCTTCCTGGAATGCTGAATACTTCTAGTAGGAGAAATCTCCATTTTTGCAGATGATAAAAATGGCAGTGCCCGAATAAAACACCAGGAACCAATCCTACACTTGGAAAACAGCCACTTGTAGTTAGTTATTCAGCGACCAACCATATTAAAACAGATGCAGCCTTCCTATCCCCGAAGTGATTTTTCCCCCTATTCTGATGCCAAAAAAGGCTTCCTTATACACACCACATTGGGTGTGATGGTATGGTCTGATAATTCCAACACCAGGGAGATTAAATTTGAGGCTAGCCAGGACTATGAAGCATGATGCTCTGCCAATAGAAAAGGAAGAAGGGCTGGGCTTGAGTCAGTGGGTAAAGCACCAGCCACACAACCTGAGGACCTGGCTTAAGATCCCCATGGCCATGTGAAGCAAGGCTCAGTAACACACACGTCCTTGTCCTTGTGAGAAGATAAGGGGCGGAGGCAAGGGAGCCTCTGGAACCCTCAAGTCCAGCTGGCCTGGTGTATGTCTCTAAGGAAGAAGGAGAAGATACTCAAGGTTGCACTTTGACCTCCATGTACATGCTGTAGCATGTACGTGCACACATGCATGCACACATGTGCAGCATATACACAGGAATAATTGCTTGTGTTTTTGTAACCTGAATAGTTAATGGTATGCCTTATTTTTACTATTTTCCTACAATCCTCAAAAATTGGTTAAGAAAGATGGTGTGTGCACGTGTGCCGTGTGCACTCAGGAGAAGGGGACTTTGTTAAGGAGCGAAAGGAAGCCTCAGATGTTAGAACTGGAGAAATCCAGGAAAGCACAGTGAGTGACACATATTCCAGAGTCAGAGGGGACCAGAGACCAGACCAACACCTACAGTCTGCTCAGTTCTTGTTTTCTATTTTCTAGCCAGGCAGTTCGCTTCAGTTTCCTCTTTCCCCATTCTTAGCTCTCCACCCATCACAAAACCACCTCTCTATCAACTGGCTGCTTAACTCCACATTTTCCTCTGCTAGACTTCTTTTGTTATTGAGAAAAAAATGTATACACTATATTCCGACCACACTTCCCCTCCCCCAACTCATCCCAGATCTTCCCCATCTCCTACCCACCCAATCCATGCCCTTTCTGTCTTTAAGAAACAAACAAGAACCAAGAAATGTACCACAAAAACAAAACCCAAAATATACAAGCAAAATACCAACAAAACAAAAAATGCCCCCCAAAAGCAAATTGAGACAAAAAGTCTACAAAAATTCCAGTGAGTTCGCTTTGTGTTGGCCAACTACTCCCCAGGCATTAGGTATACCTTGAAGTGTGATCAGTTAGATGCCATTGAAGAAAATGAATTTTTCCTTTGCAGCAGGTATCAGCTACAGGTAGTTTCTTGGTCAAGGGTGGGAAACCATGTCCACCTTCCCCTCTTGGACCCTGCTAGACTTCTGAAGATCAATGGTCAGTGAAACTCTGATCTACAAGTATCTTTTATCAGTAGCAAGAATCAGCCAATATGTAATCGGTAGCTTTGGTCTTAGCAGGGCAGACTAGGACTCCTTAGAGCTAATTATGGAAGTCATATTACTTTCTGTTGGCTTCCTCCATGTGTCAGAGAGTTCACCTGCCCAAGTATGTAGACATTGTAACACAGGAGGGAAGTTTAAAGTGTTTAGTGCTTGGTCAACAAGGAACACACATTATATAATGAGAGGCTAGTGAAATTTATTATGTAATGATACCAACCAAAACAATAAAGACCTTTTCATAGATCCTGAACCATACCTCGTCACTCTTTGTTTACGGAATTCTGGATTGGCATGGTTGAGGGAAGAGTTCTGGTTGGATTGGAATTCTTGTCCTCTACTGAACACAAAGGCTCTTTGTTTACTAATTGTCCCAAATGGCCATCTGATGTGGCACCTCTGTCTCCCAATGCAAGCTCTGTGGTGTCCACACTTCTGTTTTCCCTTTTGAGAATTCAGTTCCTGTCCAAGCCCTGTCTGTGGAGGAAGAACATTACATCATAGTCCTAGAAGAAGAACTTGCTTGAAGTAAAAATGAAAGCAGCCCCATTTCCCCAAAATGCAGGCACTTACATAAAATTACTTAACATCCTTTGTCAACTGCATTTAGGGAAATTATTATTCATGTATTGTAAACAGCAAAGCCTTAGGTTCCTGAGGTAAGATTAAATTTAATTAATTCATTTGTTAAACAAACTCTTTTATGTGCCCACCAGCTTTAAGCATTGTGATTTTTGCGGTAACTAGGCAAAGACCCACCCCATTGAGCTCCCATTTTAGTGCAGGTCACAGGCGATAGATAGTCAGCATAATATTATAATACCTAACGGGTTAAGGGGAAGACAGGGCAACCTCTCTGAGAAAGTAGTATTGTTTGAACAGAAATGTCATTTAAAGGAATGAGAAAATATGTTATGTGTGTATATGAAATTGTCAACAAATAAAAATCTCTTTAAAAGAAGGAACAATTCACATTTAAGAAGTAACAAGATAGAGTAGGCAGATAAAGTAGATAGAAAATAACACAAGTTCTCTGAGGCAGGAATTCCGCTGAGGGGCTTTAAGGACCAACAAGGTCAGCCATGCTGGAAGGAGTGAGCCGGACTGAATCTGAGACACCAAGGCACCAGAGAACCAGATGGAGCTGCTTCCCAGGAGTAGGAAGGTTGAGGCAAGATAAGTGTCTTGCAGTGCATGAGGAATCATCATGGCTAACTGCCAGCTACATCCTACACATGCTCTGAAAGCCTTCACTGTCCAAGGCAGAGTCTTAGTTCGGGGTGTTGAGAAAGGCTGACAGCGTTAGTCACATAATTTAAGTCTTCACATTTTGAAAGAGACCCCTGACTACTAAGTGTTCAATGGACTTGCTGCTAAGTTAGGGGCAAGGAGCCCTCTTAGGACACAAACTGGTCACCTTCAAGATAAGGTATAAAGACAACATGATGATAGGCTGAATGTAGTTAGATTCCAGGAGTCAATGTATTTCAAGTTTTGGACTCAGATTGGCTTCGTGAAATTTGCTGATCAACAAGAGTGTAAGCAATCTCCAGCCACCACTCCTGCTGCCCATCCCCTTACCCAGAATTCCTGCTCACTCATGGCTCAGTTCCGGGCCACTGCCACCCTCCTGTCACTGCAGACATCTACTTTACCGATTTCTCTGTGAAGCCGCACTGTCTGCCACCTTCACCTGTTTGGAAAGAAGCCCTCATCCACCCAGCGTCACCACCCACACCAAGCTGCTGCTCCCACAGCCAGCATCACCGTCGGTGTGAATTCTCCCTGTTCCCTGCTTGGCCTCCACCACTCTGTGCCAAAATGCACGAATGTCCACACACCCTTTCCATCTGAGAATGGTGAGGGAGGCAGTTTGGCTAATCCTTTACTGTTGAACAGTTCCTAACCTGGACCTGTTTCAAACATCTTCTCTGCTACGGATCATATCAGGTTTAAGGATAAGTCTGCCGTAAGATTATTTTAGCTCTCATATCTGGAAACTCTGGGTCAGATTATATTCTCAGCCTTTCTATCTTCAGCATTTCACTTACCAAGACCACAGAAAAAAAACTAGACATTAGTATATTAATTAGATAGAGGTAATATTGAGTGAGTAGCATTATTTCTTAGCTTGAATTCAGTGGCTAATTCTATCAGGATCCTTTACAAAACATTTTACCCTTAATCATTTTATCTCTTTATTACCTGTAGCAACCCAAAATGATAATTTTTAAAAGTTTTCTTAATAATTAACTTAGTTTAATTACTTTTAAAAAAATTTTCAATTTTTAAAAAATTTTAAGTGTATGCTGTTTGTGTTTTGCCTGAATGTATATCTTATACTATCTGCATGCCTGGTGCCCTCAGAGGACAAAAAGGGCATCGGGTCCCCTTGAATTGGAGTTGTGGGTGGCTGTGATTACTATGTGGGTACTGGGAATTGAACCCAGGTCCTCTGGAAAAGCAACAAGTGCTTTTAACCACTGAGCCATCTCTCCAGCCCCTCAGTTTAATTTCTTCAACATCAAAATAAATCACAGTGATTATGTGATATCAGACTTGGCAATATTGATTAACATTGCTGAAATGCACAGTTAGGAAGTTCATCTTGACTTCTCTGCCATCAGAATTCCAGAAGTGGCTCTGGGCTATTTCTCCTCTCTGGTTCTTTGAACTTTGGTGGTTCCTCTTTCTATTTGGTAGGAAGAATTCACCTCAGGAAAGAACACTCTGGAAACTCCCATAAAAAGAACCCTGACATCAACAAAGTCATTTCCCAGTTCTTATTTGTTTTCTTCTCTATAAAGAAAGATATATTACAAGAGCACATTAGAACAAAATAACCTCCCAGGAATTCAGTTTGTTCAGAAGGTTATGGGATTATGAAGGTTAGGGTCCCGGGCCTATGTAGATTTCCCTTCCATTCATAATTCGTAGATGCTAAGTTCTGCTGTTACTTTTGAACTCATGAAACATAGATTAAAACAAATGATTCATTTGTATTTCAAATCCCATTTTGAATAGATGAAGTATAAATACATTTACACTTCTGAATATCTTCTTCATGGGATGTGAGTCTCATGAGATGGCTTTGGAGTGGAGAAGAACATGTAGGAGAAGGAAGACTGTAATAAAACAAATGTTGATGATTCTGCTTCTTAGTTCTTAAAACTTTAAAAGATAAAGCCCTGGAATAAGGAAATTCTTTTACTTTTCTTAATATTCTGTCCCAAATGTAATAATCTCTCAGTAGCTGTCAGTATTTCCAAAACCCCACATAGGAGCCAGTGTCCTTAGACATCAGAGACCCTTCTATAAAGTGGCACAGTATCTGCATAAACTGTATGCATCCTCCCTGTACTTCAAATCAGATACTTCTTATCACACCAGTGTAATCTAAATACCAGGTAAATGGTTAATAGGCTATTTGTTTGGAGGATGATAAGTAAAAGAATCCATACATGTTCAATACAGACTCAGCGCTCTTTTCAAATGATTCAGTCCATGGTTTGTGAACCCAAGAGTGCAGAGCTGATCGATACAGAGGCTGAAGGCCAATTGTAGTGTGGAGCACCCATTACATATGAGTGCTTATACACTAGGATTCCTACAGCAATCCAAGCTGCTGCTGTTCACAATGTGCACTGACAAATACCTGTGACTAATTATTTTCAAATCACGAACTTGAGGTAATAGAGAGCCTTTCCAGCAATGTCTGTTGATATGGAATACATCAGACAATCCAGTCCAAGAAATGTCTCCCACAGCACCTGGGAGAGTTTCAAGAGCTAGGTGAAGAATGAGAGAGGACCAGGTAAAGATCAGCAGCGAGCATGTTCTTCCTAGAGCAGGGCGGAGGGGCAAGCCTGCAGCTTGCCTGGAGTAAGGGCTCGTCCCCTAGGACAGGAAGATAACATAGGACAGGAACACAAGGCCAAACATGACAACTCTGGGCTTCATTCTGGCCTTTTTCTTTTGCAGCTCGGCACCAAGGAAGGCTACCTCACCAAGCAGGGCGGCCTGGTAAAGGTAAGGGAGTGTGGTTTGCTCAGGCCACCACAGGAAAGACAACACACCATAGACTCATCTCTTAAAATTGACAGATTTTTTAAAGGATATTATAAATTTATTTTAAGCCACATATATTTTGACTTGACGGTTCTCTGTCCAAGCCCTGTGTAAGAGTAACCTGCAGTCCATATTACAAAGGAAGCATGGAGGATGGAGCATGCTCAGTGGAAGGGTTAAGAACAAAGCAGGTAAATTAACTCTTGAACATTTCTGGTCTTTTTGTTTTTAACATAAAAGTCAAACTTATATACAATGCTCACTGAAAGGTAGGCCAAATACATCATTGGTGCTTAAAAAAATATTTTATAACATGCCAAAGTAAACATAATTTAGATCTTTGTAAGTCAGGGCGCCTGACTGCTCCCTGTCTGAAATTCTACCTTTAAAGTTCTGTTAAATTCTCATGTGCCATGGCCACCATCATTCAGCATATCGGCTCCACTCATGCTGTGTTGGCCCTTGCCTATTTCAGGGGTCAGGGTCTTCTTACCCCTTCTCCTGTGAACAAGCTGCTTGACTCTATCCTAACCATGCAGTTATCCATGTCCTCACTAGGCTGGATTCTCCCCGAGGGTGGAAGACATTCACATTTGTAGCCTGTTTATGGGTTTGTTTGTTTTGTATTCAGATAGGGTCTCACTCACAGCCCGGGATGACCTCAGATGTACAGCCTTACTCCTCAGAGCCCTTAGGGTTAGGATTACAGGTGTGCACAACCATACCTGACCTGAATGTTTGTTCCTGAATCTTCTATTGTCTCTGTTGAGTGGGTGCATTGCCAGCTGAGACAGATGGGCACTTTGTTAGGATATAGGAAGGAAGTAGCAAGTTTTCATTGTGAGTCCATGGCTCTTCAGGAGAGATTCAGTGTCATGTGGCTAAAGGTTCCTAAATCTCAGCTGGCTTATTTGTGAAATATAGCAATAATAATGATAATAATAATAGATGGCATTGCTTTATATGTATGTGCTAGTTATCATATATTTAATTAAATATATATTATATATAAAAATAAAATTTCAAGAGTATACATGAATATATATGTAAATTTCTGGTGTGGGGATATAGCTCACAGTAGGTTCTCAAAACTGATATCTATTTTTTTATTATAGTGTCAATAAAATAGAAACTTGAGTGGCTTGTTAGAAATCACCTTGAATGTTTACAACAGCTGCATTATTCATTTAAATAAGCTAGTGGTATTTCTATTGTGATCTTAGAACACAGAATCATCATTTTTTAATAGCTATTTTGAAATTTTTCTCAAAAGTGATAGATAAAAATATTTTAGGCTTATTTTTATCTTGTCTTTTATATACTTTTAAAATGAAAATAAACTATCAAGTTTGGATATTACATTCTGTACTCAAAACTTAAATTTTTCCCCTTCAGACCTGGAAAACAAGATGGTTCACTTTGCAAAGGAATGAACTGAAATATTTCAAAGACCAGATGGTGAGAATGACATCAGCACCCCGCTCCCCCTTAGTCATCAGTTCTGTAAGGTCCCCAGCACCCTCCGAAACAGAGTCCAGAGACCCGAGCCTTTTCAGTTTGTGTTTATAGTGGGGGTGGGGCACACTTGCCACAGAGTGTGCTTGGAGTCAGAGGACGAGCTGTGGGAGTTGTTTCTCTCCTCCCAAAATGTGGCTCCTGGGAATCAATCTCTGGTCACTGCGCTGGATTTGTCCACGAGCATCTTTACCTACTGAGCCATCTCCCAAGCCAAGGTGTCGCACTTGGTCCCCGATCAGCCCTGACTCTGTGGTTTGCCTCCAGAAGCCTTTCAGGTCAGCACAGCTGTCCCCTCTCTGGAGCACACGGCTCCTCTGTTTGGGGCAATGGAATTCTTCCCTTGCCATACTTTATTAACTGTCCTTATGAAGCAATTTCTCCTTTTATTAATAGCATATCCATTGCTTGGGTCCATTTTATCATGCCAACTTAAAATGATTCTCCTTCCTTTTTGTATACAAATTTTCTGCAGAAGTAGAAGTTTATAAAAAGGATGGGTATAACTAGAGTTTTCCTGCCTTGCCCAAAGTCAGGACAAATCTCTATCACCTGCCAGTCCCACAGCCGCTCAGACCTAACCAAGTAAACACAGAGACTTATATTGCTTACAAACTGTATGGCCGTGGCAGGCTTCTTGCTAACTGTTCTTATAGCTTAAATTAATCCATTTCCATAAATCTATACCTTGCCACGTGGCTCGTGGCTTACCGGCGTCTTCACATACTTCTTGTCATGGTGGTGGCTGGAAGTGTCTCCCTTTGTCTTCCTGTTCCCTCCTTTCTCATCTCTGTTAGTCCCGCCTATACTTCCTGCCTGGCCGCTGGCCAATCAGTGTTTTATTTATTGACCAATCAGAGCATTTGACATACAGACCATCCCACAGCAGATGAGAGAAAATATAACTCCTTTCCATGTGTTAAAAATCTATCTCTGTCTGATGTAAATTGACAAAAGCAACCTCTTTTTAAAAAAGATATATTTTTATTTTAAGTTATGCGTCTGAGTATGTGTCTGTTTTTTGGGTATGTGCACTCGAGTATTGGTCCCAGTCCTAAGGCATGGAGACTTTTGGTACTGGAGTTACAGGCAGTTTTGGGCTGCCTGATGTGGGTGCTGGGCATCGAACACAGATCCTCTGTAAGAGCAGGTCACCCTCCTAACCACTGAGCCATCTGTGCAGCCCAGCAATGTCTTCCCATTGCTTAGTCTGTGAAAGGCTAGTTCCCTTTGTCAGGCTTTCCCACCCTCCATCATCTTCATGAAAGGAAATCGACAGTTGCATGCAGCAGAAACCTTGTAAAGGAGTGAGGGATGTTCACGCATGTCTGTTTATTCTTATGACATAGTTTGCTTTTTCCCCCCCAGTCACCAGAACCAATCCGGATCCTAGACCTAAGGGAGTGTTCAGCTGTTCAATTTGATTACTCACAGGAAAAAGTAAACTGCTTCTGGTAAGTTACTTTCATAAAGGAAATGTTCCTAAAAGTCTTTAAGCCAAGCAGTAAAAAGCTACCTGTCTTAACGTGTACATGTCTGGATCAGAGGGACGTGAACCTAACCCAAGGTTAGCATGTTAGCGCCTCCAGTGCAGAGGACACACGCCTGGTCTACAGTGGCTTCCACAAAGAGGCAGGTTAGCTAGGTTCAGGCTGTTGACTGCACAGCTAGAACACATTCAGCCATTCACGTCTCAACACAACTTCCTCCCTGGAGATTTTCCTCTCAAGGTTAATTATCCTTTAGCCAGCTCCAATGATGGTCGATCTGTATTGTTAGGGCGGTGTCTGGCTGACAGGTGGAAGTGTTTTGCTCTGATACAATCAGCGCACTATGAAACACTTCTGATACAGACAGCATCTTGATAAAGGAAGGCATGTTTTTTTCTCTACCAACTTTTGTCTGAAAGTTTCTCAAACTTCTCCAGACTGCAAGATGTCAACTTTTCTCTGTCTAACCTCAGCGCATTAAAAACTTGCCGGATTTTCTTCATCACTTCTTTTCCTGAACCAGTTGAAAGAAAGTTGCCAAGATACAGCATTCTGATCACATACCCCCTGAAAATAAAGACAGTATATATAGAACTTAATTTTGTTATTACACCTGAGAAAGTGAACAATGTACAGTATCGACCAGCGACGGGCATCTTTTTAATACCTGCCCTATGATCTAGCAAACGTTTGTTTTTCTTGAGTAACAAGAACTTGAGAGGCAGGTGTACTGTGACAAGGTCTCACCCATGGTCTTTATCATCCTCTTAACTTTCCTCCAGCTGGCTCCTTCAGATCCAGGGGGCCACTTTCGGCTCTCATGTTTTCACAGACATGACGAAAGATGTATCAGCCATGCCTGGCCCTTTGTCTCAGGAAAGCCAATGTTTCCCTGGAAACCTTGTCCTGTGAAGCTTCTGCATGACTCATTGGCTGCAACATAAATTACCACAACATCATCATAATTGTAACTGGCTTAAACTAATTAGAATTTATTGCCCGGGCTTCTGTTTGCAAGAAGAAAGGGAAATTTGTGTGAATTTGTAGAGCAACTCACAATGTCTCCCCCAGGGAGTATCAATGACGAGTCCAGAAACCAGTTTAACACTTAGCATGGTGTACAGTGTGTACAATGTCAGCATCCCTCCCTCTCCAGCCCTATCTACTCACCCACTCACCCACCCACAGGCCTGATAGCTACACCGTGTGCCTGAATTTCAGCTCAAGGCAGGAGGATCAGGAATTCAAGGTCATTCTCCGCTACAAAGCAAGTTTGAGGTCAGCCTAGCATACATGAAAAAAAAAATACAGATAGGAAAAAAATAGTACTTGTGTCTTGATTGTGAGGATAGAAAGAATAACCAAGATATGTTAGGGTTAACTTTATCGCTCAAATAATTTTGACTAAATAATCAGAGGCAGCAAAATGAAGACATCTACCCAATCTTTTGTGCTGAAAGAAAGGTTCGTTTTCTTTATGGCAGAGATTAAGTCATGGGAAGAAATGGGTGAAATAGCAAACTGAGGTATTTTTGGTCCCCTTTTCCTACGTAGTCTTTGTATCTCCGGGAGGAAGTGTTGCCCTCTTTAAAGCAGCCAGTACAACTGAGTTCTTTCAGCAAACCCTCTTATCTGCCTGGCTTGTCCTTTAAGCCACGGACAGGCTCTGGACCACTGTGGGGTTTGGCTGCATAGACTTATATTCCCCAGAAGGCACGCAGAACAAAAGGAGGTGGGTGTGACCTGGACACACACTTCTTCTGTGAAGTCTCCTGCGAGGATACAAATCTCGCCTGTAATAACACAAACCTAAAACTTCCTCGGCATTTCTGCCGTTGCTGCAGGAACTGCTCTGTGTGCACCGATTCTTCAAAGTCGCCCTGATAACTACGCGAGCCCTCATCAGTTCTTCTTCCCCTGGAGGCGCTCATGCTATTCAACCAGGATATATGCAACCAGCCACACTGACAACTACCACCCGTTCTTTCTTTTCTTTCACCAGCCTAGTGTTTCCATTCAGGACATTTTATCTCTGTGCAAAGACAGGAGTTGAAGCTGATGAGTGGATCAAAATACTGCGGTGGAAGCTGGTGAGTTTTAGAAGTCCCCAGGTGTCTTAGTCTTGATAACTAACATGTCGGTGATGTCAGGTATACTGCAGTTGTCAGAGCAGGCCCTAGAACCAAAGGGAAGTCTGTTTGCAACTCTGTGGACTAATCTGTGCTTGCTTAAGGGGTACTAAAGGAAAGAGGAGGTTGTAAGAAGGAAGGGTGGCATTGTCCTTGGACTTCAGCGTAGCCTTAGTCGTAGCTGCTGGCAGTCTTCCTGCGAGGTGTGTTGGTCAGCCCCATTTTCTCTAAAAGAGAATATTGGGATTGGAAGGTCTCAGAGAGGGATGTTGACATATGCTTCAACTTGGAAAGCCTTTCAATTGTCAAGGAGGGAGCATGGGGAGGACCTTGGTTCTCAGTGTAAGCTGCACATTGTGTATCAAGCACCAAAGGCATTTTTTATTCCTGCTATGTACTTCCCAAAGGGAAGACAGTTAAAATAATTCACCAATCCTTACATTTTTCACCATGTACATTATAGAGTTGATAGTCAAGTACAAGTTTTCTAAAATTTCCTGTAAGTTTAATTAATATGTTGGCAGAATTTTTCATTGGGATCACTGGTCTGTTCTGTCTTGCCAGCTGGCTCCCAAATAACCACACAGAGACTTATTAATTATAAGTGCTCGGCCGTTATGGCTTAGGCTTGTTGCTAACTAGATCTTACATCTTAAATTAGCCCATATTTCTTATCTACACTCTATCACATGGTGGTACCTTTTTTGGCACTGCATGTTCATCTCACACTTCCGCTGTGTCTGGCTGGTGACTCCGCCTTCTTCCCTGCCTAGCTTCTACCTGCCTAGCTATTGGCTGTTTAGCCCTTTATTAAGCCATCAGAGTGACAAATCCTCACAGTGTACAAAAGGATTATTCCATGGTAGTGAGATTATATATTAGTCTGGTTTTTATTTCTTTCATGAAATGCATGAGGCAAGCTACTTATGAAATAAAAGGAGGTTCACAGTGTTCGAGGTTCAAGGGCACAGCACTCACATCAGCTCAGCTTCTGAGGAAGACCTTGGGAACATGAAGACAGGGATATGTGGAGGACGGGAACCTCACACTTCCAAACAGGAAGCCAGAGATCAAGTGGGGTTGAGAGGGTGTGGGTCAAGCTCAAACTTCTAGAACTCTCTCCAGGGCAGTACTCCCTTCCAGTGGCAGTGTGCCAGCAACACAAGAACCTCCTAGTGAGTCATTTCTTTAAAGGCTTGATCCTGTCAATCCACCACCCTTGGGAACAAGCCTTTACATACTTACTATCTTGAAACCTATGGTGTATTCAAAGGCAAAACACCTTTTTCTTAATCAGTGTGTGTGTGTGTGTGTGTGTGTGTGTGTGTGTGTGTGTGTGTGTGTGTGGTTATTGTATCTATAAGTCTGAAAATGGATATCCTTAAAGCCAGACTTATAGCTCAGTGATAGGAACAGTCCTCCCTGGTAAAAAGGTGGGGGGGGGGGGCAGCTGTGAACACTGCTGAGCAATCATGTGTTTTGGTTTTTGTCTTTTTGGTTTGAAATCCAAGTTAATACAGTGCCCATTTTGAGACTGCTTCTGTGCTGATTCTGAGTGAGGAATGCTTTGTCACGGCCAACCTGGGCTGAAAATGACTCCATTTCTAATTCCATGTATTTTGTTATTATAAGAATGACACATAATTATTATAGAAAATTTAAATTTAAAAGTAGTTCAAATGTATATTTTCAGACTTCTCCCTGGCCGACTGGGTCTTTAAGAACAGTATATTATCAGCATCTTTCAAAGTCCACAACTGTAGACCTGAGTCTTCCTTTCCATTAGACAGTGCTGTGTCTGTGCTTTCCTGGGAAAGTATCAGATCGATTCCCAAAGTGCAACATTGTAGCAGCCACTCCATTATGTCTACAGCGAAAATTAAAAACAAACATTAGGCAGGGAGGCATGTCTATCAGCACTCAATAGGCAGAGGCAGGCAGATCTCTGTGAGTTCAAGGCCAGCCTGGTCTACAGAGCAAGATCCAGGACAGGCACCAAAACTACACAGAGAAAACCCTATCTCAAAAATCCAAACTAACCAGCCAACCAACCAACCAACCAACCAAACCAACATTAAAACTTGGTAGAGGTGTGGTAATTTATAGCAGCATGTCTCCTTTACTGCTCAGCATGTCTTCCTTACTATTTCAGAGTCAGTATCTCAGAATGACTCAGTAGTAGATGTATCTATGTTCTATGAATAATAGAAGTACCTATGTTCTATTATAGTCAAAACTGAGAAAACAGCTGGACCAAGGAGAGGACACTGTGCGATCTCGGTCATTCATCTTCAAATAGAACTTTCTTGGCTCGGGCAAGGTGGAATGTTCCAGGTGCTCTGATCTGCGGCAGGCTTCAGAGGAAAGGTCATTAAAGGATTTCCTCGGAAAACAAACACAAAGTAGACCGTGGTGGGGAGGTGAATGTGGTTTGCTGATTCATGGCCAACAGCTGGCAGGAGCAGCCATCTGCTCAAGACGGTGGAAGCAGCGCCCGGCTGATGGAAACTGCCTACCTCCCACTTCCAGGTGGGGCCGCTCTCAGAACCCGGTGCAGGATGAAATTTGTGTGCTCTCACCCAGGCTCAGGCTTGGTGACTCAGCTGCCTGGCATCCTGCCTCAAGTCACTGTCCGCACAACCTCACTTAAACAGCAGTATGTTGGGGTCTCCGGCTGCTCCTCTAGGAAGCAAATTAAGACAATAAACACCCAGGACTTTCAAAGGAGGGGCCGGTTTGGCTTTGTTTATATACAAAAACCACAAATAGGGCTGGAGAGGTGGCCCAGCCATTAGAAGTGCATCTGCTTTTGCAGAGAACCTGAGTTCAGTTTCTAGGATCCCAGACCAAGTGACTCACGAACGCCTCTAACTCCAGCTTCAGAAGGAACAGACGCCCCTGATGACCTTGGGCACCTGCACACAGGTACGCATACTCACACACATGCACATAATGAAAAAAATCATTTAAAAAGTTTTCAAGCCGGGCGG